ATTCATTACTGCATGAGGAGGTCAGAGAGGGCCAGGGTAGAGAATATCTGTGTTCCAAGCACTGCTGTTTAGTGCTGCATCCTAATTGATCAGTGAACCATGTAAATGCTGAACAGGTCAGGCTCTGCATTTTATGAAGTGTCAGAACTTTTGAGGCTTGCTTTGAAAAGTTCCCTTGCTGTGCTGCATGCTGCCAAGAGATGAGGAAAATGGGATCTTTAACAATTGTTCATTTTTAATTCATGGCAAGTTCTTCTTATGATCTTTACACTGTGCTTGGCCTGCTGAGCGTAGTGATTGCCCCTGTAAACAAAATACTCACAACACAAATACAACAAACATTCTCCAACCCTTCTCACCTCCTTCCCCCTCCTGCTGGGTGCTGTGCAGAGCAATGCCAGAGCAGTGTGTGTTTCTGATGACTGCAAACAATCAAGCTGCTTTGTAATAATATTTATTGCTTGGTTTTGGGGGCAGGCAAATTTTGGAGCCAAAAATCAAAGCCCACTGAGGCCACTGTTTCACACTCTCTTGGGTGTGGGCTTCCTTTCCTTGTTTTTCTAAGAGCAGAAACCTGATCCCAAGCACAGTCTCCATCTTAATTCTACCTGGGCTCCAGGATTCTGGGTAGAATGGTGCCATGAGCACCATGCCCTGAACAGAAGAAAACAGGAGCATCTCACAGCAGAGCTGGGTCCTTGTATGGCACTTCTAAACTGGAATTCCAGCACTGGGAGGAGGAGATTTGCTATAAATACAGGGCTTTGTTTGCAGAGCTTTGGCTTGCAGGATTGTGCTCAAGTCCCATAGCCTGAGCACTCTGCTAGAACAAATTGCTTTGAGAGATCTCAGTGTTTTCCATTTTACTATGATTGGAGGAATGCCAAGTTCTTTTCATTCACTTACAGCAACAAAACTTACCTGACCTCAGGGCATTACAAAGTGCAATGAGTTAGAATCATCCAGGAATGAGAACTTCCTATGAAGCAAGCTGCATATTCATTTTTACAAGTGGTGCAGCAACAGAATTCCTACTTGTTTCATTAATCACTTTTGTGACAGGCCCTTCACCTCCTTCCTATCAATGCTAAAGCTGGGAAACATTGTTTTTCACAATGAGAGAGGCAAGAAGTGGATCCCTAATTATGAATACTATTACAGAGCAGAAGGAAATCACTCAAGGCTGTTTTAAGTATCATGCAATGGAAATCATCACTCAGGCTCAGACAACATGCATCTGTTACTGATATTAGAATTGTTAATGTGAGCATGTCATGGTTTTCCTTTGTGATAAGACTGTGCAAATAAAACAAAAAGAAATAAATTCAGAGGATGCTTGAAATTCTGGTTCCTCCAGGCAGAATTCCTCTGGTGGGCCCTGGGCTGTTCACTGTTTGAAAGAGCAGAGTGGAGGATTTGCATCCCAGACTGGGACAGGTATGCTGTGAGGGATGGTCTTGTTATGAAGAACAAGGAATTTCTAATCCTGAGAGAGGGAGGTTGAGGCTGTCACAGGAGAAACAGCTTTTACTGCTTTGTGAAGTGAGAGCTGAAGAGAGAATGTGCTTGCTGGCTATAAATTCAAGAGGAATATATTGCAGGAGGAAGAAGAACTCTGCTGTTGGCCCATGTATCTGTAAGTTGGCCCAGCGCTTTCCCATTGTATGAATGGATTATTGAAAGATGTTACTTCTGCTAGAAGACTCTGGTTTTCTTCTAGTCTTGGACCACAGCAGCTGTAGTACTTCTGTGCTTGGCACTTACAGTCAAGTTGAGATAAATTTGGTTTCAATGTGAGGAGGATTCTAAATAAGAGAGTTGCAGGGATCTGGGAAAGGCTCACAGTATTCAGGCAAAGCACCTGAAATAGCCATAAATTGGCTTTTGATTAGTATCTGAAGGATTGGATGATGTGAGAGCATGTGATGGCTGAATTGTGATGGCTCAAAATCCTCCGTAGTACTGAGGGAATGCTAGCTGAAATAAAGAGACTGTGTAACATCAGTGAAGTGGGGAAAAATCTACATGAGGAACATCAGCAGATTTACTAGCCAATGGTTTCTATTTAATTATTGATAGTAATCCAAGTACTTCTTCCCCTGTCTTGTACTATTTTACAGTGTTTTCCTCTGTGTATTGAATGTCTGATTTACTAAGGAACTATATGCCTTGGAGTTGTGTAAGAACAATGAATGTATTCATCAGCTTTCATATAAAGCAGCTGTAAGATCTCACTGAGGAGGGCTTCTGCAGAGTTAAGCTGGGGGATGAAGGGAAATGTAATAGAATTATACATAAGATTGGCACATCCATCTAATGTGCTACATGGGCTGTGTCATAAGGTTGGTTGTTTTGTTCTCCCTCTGTGCTGAGAACTTACAAAAGCATTTCAGAAATTCAGCATCACTATCTAGGGTAAGACTTTAGCTCCCACTTAGGCCATGTACAGAGGAGCCAGGGTCTCAGAGGGCTGTGCTCAGCACTTTCTCCTTGGCTCTTCCTTGGGGAAATGCTGCTCATCACACTCAGCCCAGAGGATGGGGCACAGATCAGTGCCCTGCTCCCAGTGCCTGCACTGAGGGGGCTGCCTACAGGCATTTGAGGGAGTTACAGGACAAAGGGAGTGTTTGGAATTCTGCAGCAATTTCTTCAGTACAGCTGGTGTGGGATGGCACAGACCAGGGCAACTTTGCATGAAAAAATTTACCTGAATTGTGAATTGCCAAACTTTTGTCCAGGATAAACAACCAGGGAGCATCAGATTGTTTCTGTAAGCTAACGTCTGCCAGTGGACTCATTGAAAATACCAGGAAAAACTCTCATCCTTCCTCTGCACTGCATTGTATCCTTGCTTTGTATTGGTAAGATGGAGATTTCCTCATCAGGATCTTGATGGTTCATTGTGCTACAAAGGACTTCATGCACAGTTTTAACTGAAAGGAGAATGCAGTGAGGTGGGGGTTGGTCTCTTCTTCATGTAACAAGTGATAGACAAGAGCAAACAGCTTCAAGTTGTGCCAGAGGAGGTTTAGATTGGATAATTAGAAAAATGTCTTCACTGAAAGTGTGGTCAGGCATTGGAACAGGGTGTCCAGGGAAGTGGTGGAATTCATGTCTCTGGAAGTTCTCTAGAAATGTGCAGATGTAGAGACATGGCTTAGGGGTGTCCTTGGCAGTGCTGGGTTAATGGAGGGACTTTATGATCTTAGAGGTCTTTTCCAACCTTAATGATTCTATGATATTATAAAATTGCCTGTCTAGACTGTTCTTTGCTATTCCACTGGAATGGGTAGCCCATGATGGAGGCTGATAAAACAGGATGGAAGACCTCACTGGGCCTCCCTTGAGGAATGCATGGACTCAAAAGAACAAGTGAAAACACTTCCCATGTCCTGTCTGAACCTGTGCTCTGAACTTGGGCTGCTCTTCTTGACAGCTTGGGCAGGTTGGGATCAACCCTTGGGATCAGCCCTTGCAAATGGGAAATTTGCAGAAATGACACAGCAACACCCAGGAGATGCTGCTCACCAGGACGAGTCAGGAGCCATTGCAAACAACTGGATGCACACAGGATGAGGTTTTACACTGTCCTCAGCTATCATCCCTCTCCTGCTGTAAATGCATCTGAAGGGTGTGATTCCCATTTGGAGTACATTATAGAACCAGGTCAAACATGAGGAATTTGGTTTTTTACCTGCCTGCTAACCTGACAGACCACGTAGTTTGATCTTTGGGAAATGATCTGACTAGACATGGCACTCTTCAAAAGTAGGGGATTAGGAACTATTTAGACAAAGAAGAAAGGTGTTTTAAACAGTCATGGAAGTTGCTTACCCTTGATTTACAGGGAAAATTAAATTAAAGAGGAAACTGTTACTTATTTGACACTGAATGTGGGAATTACTTGGGAAAGTGTTACTTATTTGACTGTGAATGTGGGAATTATTACTAATTGCAAGAGTAATTTCTTGAAAATGATGCTGTAATGATTCTTTCTATTACAAGTGGTAATGCTGTCATTACTACATTACTCAAACTCAAATCCATGGGGGGAGCTCTGTAGGGTGAGCAGTGATTGAATGTTCAACATTAACATAACTACACTCAGTCTTAAATTTAGAAAATGTGATCTATATCTAATGTTCTCTAGATTTACTACTGTTTCTCTTCCACAAAGATGCTTCTCTTGTCTGCACTGTGGACTGGCTAATTTATTCATTTTATACTAATTAGTTGTTCAGGACATGTTTAATGATAATATTCAGAAATGAAAGGGTTTTAGCATTCATACAATGGTGGAAAATCAAGATGTGAACAGCTCATTTCTTATCTATAATACTGTGTGGAGAAACATTTGTCAGTGCTATCCAGAGCTTTCCTGTTTTTGCTGCCTCTTTGAGATAGGATTGAAGCATCTCAGTGGAAACATCCTGTGGCAGTGTGAGAAATATGACAGAGGCGGGTGCAACAAATGCTACTCCAGGTCTCATTTTCATTCTGTAAGCCCTGGTGAAGCAGGCAGGGTGTGTGAAGGATCAGGAAGGACCCTTCTGATTAGAGTAAAAGAGAATTATGAAGTTGGGCTTCCACACAGCCTCTCTCTACTAAATCTCTGTCTCACTGACCCAAGGGCTCCCCCAGAATTTCCTAAGGAAGGCAGGGCAAGCCCTTCCCCTGAGAAATGCTGTTGATTCAGTTCTCCCAGAGCTGAGGAGCCTGCTTGATCTGGAATTTTAACAAGCACCTTCTGTACTACTTGTGAGTCAATTCTTTGCCAGCCAGATGGAGACATGTGGCTGCTGTGTGCAGATACTCCTTGGCGTGGCGGAGACCAGGGAGCACCTCTGAAATGCAGGAGAAATAAGGAGCTTTCCTTTTCTTGCTTTGTTCCTGGGTATTTCAGGTGTTCTGGGTGCAGCTGGGAGCTGAGCCACTGCTGTGTCCTTGACTTGGCTTTCAGTGCAAGGTTGTGCTGACCCAAGTGTTAAATGCTATTGTAGGAACAGCTCTGAAGGAGAGGTTTTATTCTGGCTCCTCTCCACCAAACGAAGGGGAAGGAAGTCCCCAAAACATTTTTTGGGTAAGTTAACTGGATGGAAGTGAGGTATTCTTGGAAAAACACAACCCAGTTCCACTAGAAGGTGAAGGGGCTGTGGGAGATGGACTCTCTGCTTTGGAAGCACTTGCAGAACTGCTGCTGCTCTGCTTCTCCACAGGGTCCTGAGCTGGGGTTGCTGCCTGGGGCTGCTCAGGGCACTTGTGTCCCCACATGAGGAAGCGGCACTGGGGGCTTTGCCTGCTCTCACTGCTCCTCACCTCAGTGAAGATCATCTTCCTTACTGAGCTTGTCCCACTTAACTATAGCTGGGGACTTGTCAGGATCCCCCTCTGGCAGAGACATTTTAGTCTTTGCTCTTCAAACATATTCTCCTTCGTAAAAACGTTCAGAATGTGTTTTCTTTTTAAGTGTAATCTTGAACACATTAATGATATTGGCAATTACTCAAAGGAAAACATGTAATCAATGAAGGCTTGCTCATCTGTGGGGTGATGAATTTCAGAAATACAGTCTGTGCTTGCCTGGAATTTATTGCTTCAGGCAAGGTGATGGCTGCAGCAGTGCCATTTCCAAAGACTGTGCTGTGCATTTATTTTCTCATTAGCATCTAGTTTCTATTGTCTATTTTGAACAAAGGTAACCTTGGAGTAAGAACACATTCCTTTCTGTCAGGAAGAACTTGTGATGCTGTTTCAAAGGTGCATGCATGATTGAGCAGCAATACATCACAAGAAGCTCTGCAAAGAAGATAATTCTCCATGGGCTGTAGTTGAAGAAAAGAAAAGAAAAATCCATTTTTTGAGATTACCATACTTTGTTGGGGGGGAGGGTTAATTTATGTGTGTTGTGACAAGCTCTCTCAGATGGTGAGTAGACTGTTTGTCAACTCATAACTATCATTCTCCAAAATAGCAAAGATTCATTGATTTGCATTTTAGTAGGTTTTGATAAAAATCTATATTCCTCTTTGAAGGAAGGAAGGAAGGAAGCTGTTGTCAGTGAAAATTCTTTAAAAAGCAGAATTTCAGAGGGTTTTTTCAAGTTCAGGAGAGGAATTCGATGCAGTGACTAAACTTTCACTGCAGCATCCACTGTACAGCATAAAGCCCTTGGTTTACTGCTGTCATTTAATGCCCATGGTGCAGACACTGCACTGAGCTGGAAGCTCACAGGAGCTGCATTTCTGAGGATGGAGAAGTAGTTGAGGTGGGAATTGAGGAGAGGCAGTCCCGTGGCCAAGCACTGAGCTGTGCCCTGGAGGAAGAGGAGGTGCAGGGAGAAGTGTTTGTGACCAAGAATATCAAATGTCAGTGGGACCCTGGAAATGGAGCTCAGGTGCTCCTGGTTTGGAAGCACCTCATGCCAGCAACATCTCAGAAACATCACACCCAGCCCAAGAAGGTAACTAGGAGTGGTCCTTACTGTAGCTGGGCCCAGATCTGGGATAATAATCACTGCCCAGCACAGGAGGGACCCATTCACATCCCCCAGAAAACACAGGGCATAGTTAGAACAGGAAAAACACTGGCAGCAGAGCCAGATATTGACCAGGATGCTAATCCCAGTGCTCTCATTTTACAAAACACAAGTTGAGACCTTTTACAGCTCTGCTTAACCTCAGTCTGGTCTGCCCCAGCAGAAATGTGCCCCCACATCTGAGGTGAGCACAGGGGAGTGGCTTCTGCTGAAACCCCACCATTTTGAAACCTCTGGTATCTGGAAACTCCATCAGTGCAGGGGCAGCTGCCCTGAATGCTGCCAGGATTTTCCCTTCATGTGCCCCTGGAGCAGCTCCCAGCGGCAGCAGCACTCAGGGATGGGCTGAGCTGTCCCAGGAAAGCAGAGCACAGATGATGTGCTGAGCAAGGAAAGCAGTGTCAGAGCACAAGGAGTGCTCCCTGCTGCTGTGGGAAGGCTTTACCCCAGCTGAGCTGGCTCTGTGCTGGGGACGCTGTGTGCTGACTGTGGGGCTGAGCACAAACAAGGCTCATCCCACTCCAGGAGAGAACAGTGCCTGGGAATTGCAGAGATGCTGAAGGGCTGCAGCAGCCAGAGCAGCTGCTTTGTGGCTTTCAGCACCCAGTTCCAGTGGGCTGTGGTGCTGGCCCTTGCTCCTATGTGTTTGTGATGATGGGATGGAACTGACACCCTGGAGTTTATTGTTTTCAGGGTTTTTCTGTTTGAATCCTCAGCTTTCCCAGGACACCAGTGTCCTTGCTTAGGGGAACATGGGGCTGGTCAGCTCTGTGCCAGATTGCTCCTGAAGGTGAAACCTCCATCAGAGGAGTGGGGGTTTAAGGATAAACTTCTCTGTGTGACCACAACATGGGAAGATGGCTCTTGGCTTGACAAGCTTCAGCTCTGCAGTCAGCTACAGCTGTGCTGGCTCAAAAAATCACATTAAATCTGGGCCTGTTCCTGTTCATGAAACTTGATGGGTTTTGAACATAACAAACTTTAATGTGTTTGAAAGTGCCTTAAGTTGGTAATGATGATGAAACACAGAGAACCATCCAAATTTCTTCTGTTTACTTCTATAGTATAAACAGCTTTATTCAGTAGTTACTACATGGGGTATTCAAGATTTTTAACTGACAACAGAAATCCACATATGGCTCAGAAAAGTGTTGGCATCCTCTTGTGTGAAGTTTGTTAAAATTGTATGATAGACATCTTGTTATTTAAAAAAATCCTTTTCCTTTCAAACAAATTTATTCTGTGGTTTAAAAACTGTGTTTTAAAAGCTAATTGGACAAGGCCAAGGTTATAATTAGATTTATGCTCATGCAGAGTAGTCTCCTGGGACAATTTTGTAACTTCATGTCTGAAACTGAAGTTTGTCAGGGTGTCAAAATTTATTTTAAAAAGTTGTCATCTGCTGTAAGTGACAGTTGCAGTTGGACCAGGAATTTTTCAGTATCAAAGGCAGAGATTATCTCAGATGGGGGGGAATCTGCCATTATTACTGCCATTATTATTTACCATCTACCTTGTCGAGCTGGTTTGCTCCCTTCTCTCCTGGAGGTGATGCTGATGGCCAAATCTGTGATGCTGATGGCCAAGTCTGTCCTGCTGGTGGTTTCTGTAGGGTTAAGAAGGTTAAATCAGCATGAGGTCACTCACTGAAGGCTGATTCAGAGCTGTAAACAAGTGCATACAGTAATCATATTCTTTCTCCCAAATCAATCACATCTTTAAGAAAAGCAGAAAATAATTTATTTAGGCCATAAGAATCTTCACAAACAGACTAAACTTTATTTAATTTTTTTAAATGTGGATTTAAATTCTCTCTTCCTCTTACACAGAAAAGTGTGCCTTTGTTTGCATCATTTCATGGCTGAGGGGTGTCTGGGCTCTCTTAGAGAAGCATGAAAGTTTCATTCAGCCTACCCTGGGCTGGTCAATGCCTTTCCCACCCTGCTAAAACTTTGTCAGCTCTCCCCTTGTGCTTTTACATGCTTTTATTGCATATCACAGAGACCTGCTGGGTCCTGGCTGAGCACAGGGGGTGCTGGGTCCTGGCTGAGCACAGGGGGTGCTCCAGGTCCTGGTTGAGCACAAGGGCTGCTCCAGGTCCTGGCTGAGCACAAGGGCTGCTCCAGGTCCTGGCTGAGCACAGGACTGCTCCAATGTGTTCTCTGTGGATAAGTTCTGCCCTCAGCCTCCTGTGACCCTGCTGATCTGTGTGCACAGGCACCTGGGGAAGAAGGATCAGCTTCCCTGGGCTTTGCCTCCTCTCCCTCCTGGTTACTGCAGGAAGCAGCAGCTTTTACAGTGGAAATAAGATTTGCACTATGGAATCAAGTCCCTCTGATTCCATGGTGCAAATCCTGCATGTTGAAGAGGCTGTTCCTCATTAGACACACGCTGTCATTAGCACAGGGAGGTATCAGCAAAAGGCAGGTGTCCCTGTGCTAACAGCTACATTTGGGCAGTCAGAGCTCATCTCTGTCCTGAAGAACTTGCAACTTGAGCTTGTGCACGAGACTCACAGGGAACTTCTTGAATGGGGAATTTTCCAGTAGTCAGAGCTGAGTGGTTTTGTGGCAATGACCTGACCTCTGACAGAGCACATCCATGTCTGAATGAATGCTGTTTGCTGCTTTCCTAGAAACCCCAGCCCTTCCAAAACCCCATATAAATTAAATAAATAATAAAGGCTTTCAGTTTCATTTAAAGGCAGGAGGTCTTAGACAAAAGTGATCCTGGAAATTTTTGTTGTTGTTTTTTTGCTTTGTTTGTTGAAGTCTTGTTTTCTGGTGAGCTCTATTTATCACCTAATAGAAAAGGTGGAGGAAATGTTCCTTTGAGAACAAACCCATTAAATGGCTTCCCCAGGGTCTCACATTTACTCCAGAAGCAGAATTGAACTTACAGCTCCTGAGTATTGGTAGGGCCTTAACTGCAGAATGATCTCAGTCTTGTTATGTGAACATAATCTCAGCTCTATGCTGGCTGACTGAAACCTCTAAAAATAAAAGCAAAGCTCTAGCTCAAAAATGAAATAAAATGCTGGAATCCCTTCAGTACTAGTGAATTATTAACATTAACCACTTAAAGAGAAATGTTGCTGTTGTAGTGGAATAGCCTTTTTAAACAGTGTTTTCAAAGGACAAATGTTTATATCCAATAAGCAGACTGCAGGGAATCATCTCTGAGAAAGCTGCTGCAGTCTTTACCCATAATTTGCTAATGAATTTCATCTTAAGTGCAGCTAAAATGTAAGAGTTTGACTGGGGACTGGATTGAAAATAATAATTTTTCTTCTTCCTGTTTTCTCTCTAGGCACTTGTTAAGAAATGTTTGAATGCAGTGAAGTGTTCAGAGACTGAGAGCTTGTTAAAATAGGAGAGGGGCAGCTGTTGGAGGGGAGGCAAAGCAGAAAGTTTCTTCAGATGCATTCCTTACTTTCTTTCTAGGAAAGATTAAAAGCACTTCAATTTGAGAAAAATAAATGTCCTTTCAGATCTTCCTGTTACACACTTTAAAATCAAATGAGGCAGAAAATTTGTTTGGCTGCTTGTATGAGCATCAGTCTTTTATGTCTGCATTGGGACACCAGACCTGGGGTGCACATGCCCAGGTTAATTGCACTGGTAATGGTCTCATGCAGCAACTGGATCCAAAATTGGATGGATATTTAGGAATAATGGATGTGCTCATAGCTAAAACCAGCTCAAATATCTAGGCTGCAGTGGGTGATACATTCAGTTTTGATAAGGGCATTTTGCATTAAAAAGTCTTCTCTATCTCAATAATTAATCAACTTCTTTATTTATTGCTCAATAGCCATAAATAGCCTTCTGCTCTCTCTACCTGTGCTGGGTTGGATCTGATGCTTCTTGGATCCTGCCTGGAGATGAATTTTTTTGTTAATCCAACTGAAAACTAACTAAAATTAATTCTTAAAAAGTGGTCTTTGGTTTGATTTAAGTTTGGGTTGATTTGGGTTGGTTTGGGTTGGGTTGGGTTGGGTTGGTTTGGTTTTGGCAGAATTGCCCCAGAGTTGGCTCAGCACTGGCTCCCATGAATTCAGAGCTGAGGGAGGGAGGGAGCAGCACCTCTGCCTTCAGAGCTGCTCTCTCAGCTGCTGCTCCCTAACTGGGAAGTAGAGTTAACAAGGAAGATTTGTTAAGTGAAATGTCTTCATTTTTGTGATGTTATTACAAGTTTGTGGAGTAGATATCCTGCCCTGGGGGCAGATCTGAGCTGACTCTCTGGAAAGGTGGCAATGCACCTTTGCTTTTGAAAAGCTGCGCTGATGTGTGTGCGACCTCAGCTTGTTTCAGGGTTTACAGGCACAGATATTGAAACAATTCAATTAGATTGCATGTGATTAAAGGCACTTCTCCTGTTAATCAGTGTGGATTAGGAGGATAGGTTTAAGAGTTTGAAGGGGGAGCTGAAAGTATGGAAGGGGATTTATTAATATTTGAATTGCAGACTGTCACTCATCCAGCTGTGAGCTTTGGGATCCCAAGAAGGCCCTGTTTCATTTCCCAGCAGCATACAGATGGGAAAGTCTGTTGACAGATGCATCATATTCTGTGGGAGACTTAGTGGGAATGTTTGCCCTAGACTTTTAGTATTATTCATATATAGTTCTTATTTAGATTGGATTTTAAGCAAGAAATTTGCCTCCGTTCCAGTCTAGTTTGCATTTCAGGGCTTACCTGTGCACGTGTGAGCACAGGCTGAGCTGATGCCACTGACCCTGAGTGGGATGTGGGGATGGAGCAGGACAGGGGCTGAGCTCCTGTGCCCCCCCAGCTGCTGTGAGCCCACAGATCCCCACACTGAGCTGGAACAGCCCATTGCCCTCACCTGGCACACCAGGACTCACAGAGACACCTGGCAATGGCTCTGTAACCAGAGCCTCAGATTAAGGTACCCTGAACTCTGAAACTCTGCAAAACCCCCAGAGATTGCTTGGCTGATATGGCAGATGAAGATCTCCAGGCAACTAAAGAATATCCTGGCATGTATTTGGGTTGCTGGCTTTGAAAATGATAGTGTTATGTTTTAGGGACTGAATTAAGCCATTTAAATCATCCAGCCTGACTTCTGTAACATTAGAGTTTTTCCTTACATTCTAATTGTGAAAAAATATATATTTTAGCTGTAAGGACCAGTCTGTCATCCCCCAAGAGGGCTGTTCACCTACAAATTGTCTTCAGTCATAGAAGTGCATTTTGTTGGGCTGATGCCTTTCAGTTGAGTAGGCAAGTCCATAAAACTGGCTTTGATGTTCAGCCTAGTGTGCTAAATTGAGTCTGGATACCCAAGAAGGGCACAGAGGTGACCTGGCTTAAAATTTGGCTTGCTTTCACCTAAAAAAAAAACCCAAACAGCAAACCAACAAAACTAAAAGCCCAAAACAGACAAACAAAAAGTGTCAAGCAAAGAAAAACACACAGAAAAATTATTACCATCTAGTTTACACATGATCACAGCCTGTATGGTTGCTATAGTGTTGCTAACACGAGGAGATCAGGAGTACTGCTCCTACTTTTCTGGTTGAGCAATGAAATAATCCATGTTGGGGTATGAGCAGTAATTTTCTGCTCCTACTTTTCTGGTTGAGCAACCAAATAATCCTCGCTGGTGTGGAGCAAGTACTTTTCAGCACACAACTGAAAATGGCTTTATCAAAATCCTCAATTAAAACAAACCCTCCCCTAGCCTCAAATATGAAATCCTATTCATTGGCAAGACTGGTTAGCTTGTCAGTTTGTTGAGTATTCCCAGGACTAAACTCACACTGCCAGAAAGGATAACACAAAATGCAGAGATTTAACAAAGCCAGAAGAGGGATGGAAGCTCTTCTTTCTCCTGCTAATGTATTTCCAGCACTGTTTTGCATCCTTATAACTCTGGGGAGCACATCTGAGGAGTACCCAATTAAGCATTATCACTGATTTCAGAGCCATCCTGTTACCCTGAGTAATAACTCATTTTCCACCGCTGTGCACACCAATATTGCTGTCAGGGCTGGGAGCCTGACCTGGCGCTGGCACCCCAGGGAAAGCCAAACACCAGCAATAACTATTGTGAGCACCTGGGAAAGCCAAACAGAACTGCAGGCCTGCCATAGGCTTGGCAGGCTGGGCAAAATGACTGTTCTGTTCCTCCAAGGCATTTTGGTTTATGGTTATAATTTTCCGTGGGTTTATAAGACAGTCTTATGTTTTCCTGGAGGCACCGTTTTCATTTTGAGGGCAAATCATGACCAGTGTTGGTTTCATCTGTTTAATGGGATCGCTCCAGGTAGAAGTTGCTCTGTGTTAATTAAAACACTCGCTTGAACTCAAACCTGAAATGCTGTTTGGGAGCAGGAGAGCAGCAGCTGCTGGGTGTGGGTGTGAGAGGGAGCCTGAGCTTGGTGGGAAGGTGCAGCTTTGGGGCAGAAAGAAGTGCAAGAACCTTCACTCTTTAAATCCCTGCTCTGTCAGTCTCCCTGTTGGGCCACCTCACAGGCAATGAAATGATGGCTGAGATGTCAATTGATGGAGCATCACAAGGGGCTCTTGCTGCTTATAATCCCTAGACACAGAACTGGAGACCCAGTCCCCATTTCCCAAGCAGGCAGGAATGTTTTCATTACTATGTTAATTCAATCTCTCCTAGAACAGTGATACTTTAATTGCTCCTCTGTTTTCCTCAGACATAATCCAATTCCCTTTGGCCTCCTAGTTTATCCACACATTAATTGGGTTATTGCCTTGTAAAACAGAAGGGCAAATATATAGCTTAAATGTTATAACAGACAGTTAATAAGCATGATTGAGATTTTTTAAGTGCCCTAATGCAATTACGTGCCAGGCTCCCAGGAATTCCAGTGGGATCTGGGTGCCTTCCTGCCTCACACTTCTTGGAAATTCCCATCCCAGATATGTAAGGATGGCTATATTTCTTTACTGTGCATTGAATACTTCAGAGTTTCTCCTTTTCAACCTGAATTCTTGATCCTACTGTCTTTAATCATTTAAATCTGCTTTTGATTTAATCTGGTAAAATTCCTTTTGATTTCCTTGATAAAGGATTGTGGGGTCAAAAGCCTTTGAAGTACAGGTGAAGGCTTTGAAATACAAAAGGGGCATGGGGGGAGTGATAAATGGATACCCAGGTTCTCACATTCAGGACTACAGTCCCTGTCCCTTGTGCTTCCCCAGGCTTGTGGCTGCAGGACCAATGTCCATCCCCTGAAGTCTGAGCAGCAGCCTTGTTCAGCACACACAGAAAGCTCTGAAGCTTCCCCATTTCCCCACACCCCCTTGCTGTGGGAAGGATTTTACCCTGTCACAGCCAGGTCTGGGCTGGTTATCCAAGGAGCAGCTCTCTCTGAACCCCCCCTGTCTCGTGGGCACTTTGGTACTGTGAACTTCTATTAACTGTGTCAAGGAGCACTGGACCAGGACAGCAGCAAGGAAAATTATTAGGGAAAAAACAGAGACTGTCAAGGATGGCCTTAATTCATTTTGACTTGAACAGGGCAGTGGAACACCAGGGCTGAGCACACTGTGAGGATCTTCCCCCCGTTGGCTGTTTCAAGCACCACTTGCAGCAGCAGGATCAGAAATCCTTCACTCACAATCAAACACATCCTGCAGCTCCTTCAGCTGCTGGGTCTGGGAGGCAGCAGCTTGCAGCAGAATGGGGGATGGCTGCTGCACCCTCCCGTGGGTGACACCAGGCTTGGGACGTTGTGACAAAGCCCTCAGCAAGGAGGAGCCTGGGCTCTTTCATGTCGCTGACCTGGAGTTTGAATCAAACAGCTCGAGAGGCATTAGGGAGTGATCAAAGGGTGAATGCTAATGATAAGAACATTGCATTAATTAATGGAATACCTGCCATGCCCTGCCCACAGCACACCTGTGGAGTGGCAGTGATCAATTTCCTTCAAGCTGGCAAGGGAGAAATAAGAATTGCCAAAGCAATACACACTGAGACCTCTCTATCCTTTTAAAATGTGGAGTGAATAAAACTGACAGGGATCATTTTTCTTTGATTGAAAAACACTTTCCATCTAACCTTACATAGTGTAGGTGTTATAATGGCCAGGGAAAACCAGACATTTCATAGAGCATTGCAGGAGTTGCTGAAAGTCAGAACTGGAAATGAGTCAATAAATTACAAGTGGTGGGAGGGAGCTGGGGGCAGGTGCTCCTCCAGTTCAAGCAGGGACTGAAGAGCCAGGGCTGAGCTGGGCTGGAACCTCTGAGTCCTGATGAATGCAAAGCAAGGTGTGTTGGTGTGTTTTGGTAAAAAAATTATTTTCTTTATTGGAGTCTTTATTGTTTAAAGTAATTTATGGATTTAGAATCAGTCTCAAGTAACTTTCACTGACATGTGTACTGGGGCTTTTCAGGAAGTGCTGTGTTCCTAACCTCAATGGCCAGAGTGACAATGAACATCCTGGTTCACCTGGGTGTGCCATGGAGCTGGGCACAATGTTTGCTTTTGCTTCTGACTCTTCCATGAGGAGAGCCAGCCCTATGGCTGGCTGGGCTTCCAAGTGCCTGCTGATAAAAAATGACTTCTATCTGGA